AAGCCCGAAGTTGGGGGGGGGGGGGGCGCCACTTGAATAATAATAAAAAAATACATATATTTCTTAGTATATATAAGTACTTTTTAGCGGCCCGGTGCGGGTTTGGTGGATGGTGAGTCAAAATCTTGACACAATGTTTATGATTCACTAGCCTCTCTGCTCTTTTACTTGCGGGCATTGCCCGCACCGCCCGCACCGCGGGCGCTAAGCTAGTATGTATATATATATGGTGGGACGATGATTCAGGTTATTGTCAACATAAATGAATTCTTGCAAGGCTTGTCGAATTATACACTGTTCTGGGTTGTTGAGCGTCTCTCGTGCGACATTTGTCGTGATAGAGACGTGGTGCATCTTGGTTGTGGAGTGCATTATCCGTGTCAGCACCATTGTCAATCCATTGCGACTGCCGCCGTATGTGCGAAAGGGTGTCTAACATTTCCTCATTGTGCACATCCCTATCACCCAGATGTACGTTGTCCTTTTTGTTTCCAAGGACGCTATCAGAACTGCATGATGCCGCACTGTGACAAATGTCCTGCTGTTTTCTTGACATGTGGGCAACATGTCCTATGTCGGGATTGTTTCAATGGGATGGTTCGTGCTAGCCGTCCGGCTGAATGCTGTACTAACACAACTCTCCTTGGGTATCCCTGCGAACATCCCCGTCATCCTCATCGTAGTTGTCCTATCTGCCGATGGGGTGACAGATGAAGTGTAGAAGAAACAGATAAAAAAAGAAACCGAGTAAACAGATTAAAAAAATAAAAATAAAAAACGAAACCAAGGAAGGGAAAACACAAAAAAAAAAACCTGAGAAAAAATAAAAAAGAAAAAGAAAAATATGTTCTGTGGAATGGTAATTGGATTATCTGTGGGATGTGTCACTTGCTTCGTCTGTTTAATAGGCTTTCTTCTTCTGTGAGGTTTGGTTTCCTCCGCCTTTTCTTTACCTCTTTGCCTTTTGGCTGCGTGCAAGTGGGTCTTTATGACACACGGGGATGGGGGCAGCCAGCACTCAACCTGTCATCCACGTGGCTGGCCTTATACGTAAGAGGTGACGAACAGGTGGGGCTTTCCTTCCTTCTTTTTATTTTTCTTGTTTTGTCTTTTTCCGCCTTTGCACTCCGATTTCCAGTGTGACAATATATATATATATATATATATATATATATATATATATATATATATATATGTTTTGGGGGTATTAAAAAAATATTAAAAAAACAGACCGCGGACCGGGCCTCATTGGCCGCCACCGCAGCCAACTTTTTCGGTCGCAGCAGCTGAATTGCCCGTGGCCTAGGCCACGGGTGTCACATAAAAGACACAAAAGAAGCAAAAACACCCCATCCTGCAGCGTGCGCATATGGGGGATAGTCGCCCGTACCCCAGCGCACCTCCCATGCGCGGCCAGTGCGCATGTCCGACGCACCACAAGTTTGATACACAGGTTTTGTCGCCGGGGGAGGGGGGGGAGTTATAAACAGGGAACTTTTCATGGACGCCACAGCAAAGAACATGGAGGAGATCCAGCGCTTGATAGAACAGTTCTCCCAGGTCTCCGACATGGCAGTCGACTGGGGAAACAAGATACAGGGGTGGTGGATGCACTCCCAAGGCGGACGCCCCCAAGAGAATCCCCAAAATGACGAGTGGATTACCACCCCGGCCCTAACCAAACTGGCAAACTGGGGAAACAAGTCCACCTCCCTTCTAGGCAGGGCACTGCTAATCAATAACGTGGTGTTTGCATCACTATGGTATAAGTCCCTTGTCCGACGCCTAAGCAAACAAGCCGTACGAGCCTTAAAGGCTAGGGTGGCAGCCTTCTTATGACGGGGAGACGCCGAACTGCAAAACGTCATCAGCAGGGTGGCCTGGGACTCTGTCATCCAACCAAAAAGCGCAAGAGGTCTGGGAGTAATAGATCCAACAACACAAGTCCAAGCCCCACGACTTCAATGGATCAGAAACTGATCTTTGCCACGAACTGCCCCTGACAACCTTTGGCCCTAGAACACTTGGCACATTTAGCTCCCCCCCCCCTTCCCCTAGTGCACCCCCTGAACTGGTTGGAGGATCGCTATTGGACAATCCCAAGAAAATGGCCGAACAAGGAAGGGAGTCTAAACGGGGCCATGGAGCAATTTTGGCCCTTGCTGCTGAGGAGTTAGCGCGACTCCCTCCCCCGGAAAGGCAGCACCCTGATCGGTCGGAGGAGATTTTCCATCAAGTTGAACATCTCTTTGGGAATCACTGCCTCACAAACAGGCAGGGCCAAGTAATGAACAGCTCAGCATCTCCGTGGAAAGGATGGGTGAAACATGGTATGATCAGAATAGGAGACATATGGAACAACGAGCGGAAAGACTGAAAGACAACAGAACGTCCCACGCTAAAACACTGTCACCATGTCGCACAAAATCTGGATAAACTTATAGAGAAGTTACCACTCTCGTGGTATAGGAAGTTAAGAAAGGCCGCTATGCTGAAGGAACGGGACTGGGTCGGGCTCAGAGGAGACGCTGAGCACTTTTTAGGGAGAATTCATTTGACAACGTCCCAGGACACCCTAGTAGAAAGATATGTACTCAGTCGATCTGAAGGGCTAGAGATGAACAACAAACAAGTCATCAAGAGGAATTTCGGTGGGATTATTGCCTGGTTTTTCATGAGTGGACAAAACTTGACTGTACTATCGCCCGTCGCCCTTTGTCTGACTTCCCTGACCCAGTCCCTCCTGCGGCACTGAGCTTGGTGCCTTGCTTCTGGTATTCCAAAATAACACTTCCCAAGCCTCATTGGTTGCTAGAGAGGCGCTTGTATGGAACTAAGAAATCTGGCACCCAGTTTTCGAGCGAAGAGGCAAGGAAAAAAAAATGAAAAAACAGGGAAGTAAATGCTGGTAGGAGGTGTTAAGAGAATCAGTACTAGAAGTTACAGTAGGATCTGGAGCCCAAGGAGGGGCAAAGAGGTACTCATCCAGTCAAGGGTACTCAGTTCATTTTCTGACTTTCAAAACTCAGCGTCATATGCGAGGGACGAGCCCAAGGAGGGGCGAAGAGGTACTGATCCAATCAGGGGTAAGCAGTTCATTCTCTGGACTTCCAAATTCAGTCATATGTGAGGGACTCTGGACCCGTTTTCCAGCAGGTGAAGCTCCCCACCAATAGATGGAGTCACCAAACAAGACCTAGTAGGGGGGAATGCTTATATCACCCTCCCTATTAGGATCTTGTCCAGTTGATGTATCTCAGTGGTTAGAGCACCGGTTGGAAATGCGCATTGTGGTACGAGGTTGTGGGTTCAAAACTCCGCAGCCTCGCACATGGACACCGGCAGGGTGTTAAAAGGACGCACGGCTGGACACACTCCCCTGGGCTGACGCATGGTACTATTACAGACACTGCCTGCACACCACCCGGGGGTCAGTCCATGGGTGTCGTATGCTTGTCTAGACTTCCGGTTGGTTGCTGGCTGTTGTTGGATTTGGTCGCTCTGATGATCTCCCCCAGCCCAGACATTACACACAGTATATCCACTTCCCACGGTAGTACAAGTGGTAGAACCCTCCAGTTTCATACTGTAGGTCACAGGTTCGAGTCCGGTAAGGACTTGGGGGGGGTCCTGTCCAGATAGACCTGTCTCTACCACATACACACACACAGGAGACACTACCGCAGATAGTACAATGGTGATACATAGTCTATCACATACCATCACATACACACACACAGGAGACACTACCGCAGATAGTACAATGGTGATACATAGTCTATCACATACCATACACACATACTATAGATACATATAGCTCAAGGTACACACACACATACATGTACTAGTGGAGGTGATAAGAGCACCTCTCACCAGTACTTAGTACTACTCACTTCGCAGATGCTCCATGGTGGGGAGCAGCGTACGAACATACACATAGCCCACGGGCACACATCTATACTACAGAGTACATACACACATACACAACCATAGGGCTGGGAGGAGGTTACAAAAAAAAAAAAAAAAAAAAAA